GAGCCACTCCTCCAGGTTCTCCGTTTTAATACGTACTCCTCCCAGCACCCGGACGTCGTCGTCGCTCCGTCCCCCACGGTCGACCATTCCCGTCTCCACGTACCACTGTCCCGCTCTGTTAATCCGTAGTATGGGCTCCCTGCTTTCCACATCCGAACTCTGCTCAATTATCTGGGGGCTGGGGGACTCCTCGGGTGGGCTGAGCTCCCGAATGTCCAGCACTGTGCTCACCTGGCCCAGGCGACTCCCCTTCGGGGTGTTGTGGTGTGGGCTCAGGGAACGGTTGAGATTCGGCGTCACCCGGTGAGACTCCGGCGGTCTCTCCTGATGTTTTGTCCTGGTCTGGCTCAATTCCGCTTCCACCTCCGCCACGTTAATTTTGAAATGAATTCCCTCGAGAATCTGCGTGCATTTGTCTATGATGTGCTGCATCTGCAAGAAACTGGCAGCCGTGAGGTAACTGATGATGTCAGCCAGCTGTAGACATATCCTACCGGTGTAACAAAAGGAAAGGAGCTGCTCAAAAACGGAAGGGTTCTTGATGACAGAAATGGAAACGGTGCTCATTTCATTCAGGGACATGTGGTCGCGGAAGTAGGGCGAGCTGGCGGCCAGCACCACCTTGTGAGCGCGGAAAGCTTGCCCCTGGACGTTGACCACAATGTCACACAGGCGACCCTGCATCCGTAACTGATTCAGGTGGCTCAGGACAGAGTTACTGAAGTCAGGAATCTCCAGCTGAATGTTCCCACTCTTCTCCATGGCTGTCCCAGTTACAGGCGCACGACCCTACTGGAAAAGGGGGGAAAAAACCACCGTCGTTAGGAGAGCTGTTCTGGCATTTGCATTTATAACACTTTTCACCTATTTTGACGTGGGTTTGGGATTTTGAGAGAAGTCTCTCACCATTTAATTTACAAGCGCCTCGCAGCAGTTCTCTGATCTCTATGTGCTGTACACCACCTCTCACAAGAGCGATCTTAAACCAGTCCCCGATAGATCCCCAGTCCCTGTGGCTTAAGTGCTTGAAACAGTTCGTTCCGTCAGCCTCAATAAAAGCACATTTGCATTGTAAAAAGAACATTAAAAATGGTTCAGGTACTAAAAATAGGCAACTGATTGCATAATGGATTAAAATACTTAGTGCTTGTACCTTCTAAGCACTTGGAAAAAGGAAAGTAATAGTTATCCCTCCTCTGCAGAACGTGAATCGGGAAGGAGATACCAGGACCTAAATCCTCCTCAGAGACTTTTCAAAAACTGACCAGCACACATTTGACCTCGAGGCATCTTAAGGACATCATCAAACCCAAGATATTCATCAGATGTGGTGTTTCTGACACATCATAACAGAAAATGTGTAACAGGATGGTGAAAGAAAGAGAACAGAATCCAGTTCTGAACCCCAGCTGATCAGATCCCCGCCGGACTGAAGTGACTCCCTGGCAAAAGAAGCTGATGTTTGTGTGGTTTGAGATACTGCACGCAGCAAAAGACAACTCAGGAACAATGGGGATTAACAAACCAGCTCTCCTAGTTTCACTTCCATAATTCATTTTTTCTATAATCATCACATTTCATTTTGGCCAAGTATAAAAAAAGAGCCCTGACCATATATGGTAAAAAGTTGGAATGATCCAAAATTAGATGTAAACTTGCCCAAAAAGAAAAAAAAGAGGAGAAAAGAGGAGAGGGAGAGGGAGA